ATAAATAAATAAATCTTAAAAAAAAAAAAAGATGCAATTGTAAGGGCCAGTGTGGCACAGCAGATTAAACCGCTGCCTGCAATACCAACATCCCAGTTCAAGTCCCAGCTGCTCTATTTCTGATCTAGCTTCCTGCTAATGCACCCAGGAAAGCAGTGGAAGATGGCCCAAGTGCTTGGGCCCCTGCCACCTATGTAGCAGATCTGGATGGAGTTCCAGGCTCCTGGCTTCACCTTGGCTCAGTCCTGGCCATTTTGGCCATTTGGGGACTGAACCAGTGGATTGAATGTCTCTCCCTGTCTCTGGAATTCTTCCTTTCAAAAAATACATTTATTTTTTTTTAAACAAGCAATTGTAGAATTCAGTTGACAAGAAATGGTGGCTAAAATTAAGGCAGGAGCAGTGGAAAGAGAAAGAAGTAGATTCAAGTGATACTAAAGAACTGTATAACTCATGGGCTGGCATCATTTTCTGGCCTGGACTCCTGGCTGGGTGGTGGTACTGATTTTCTGAGATAGGGGAGACAGGAGGAAGGAATAAGAAGGAGAAAAGAAAGATAAGAAATAGAAATTGCAGCCAGAGAGAGGGGAGGGAAATCGAGTGTCATGAGCCCAGACAAACCAGTTTGCAAATTAGCAGCTTGGTTCCCGGGCATCCGAGTTCTATCCCATCAACTTAACCTGGAAGTTTTTCCAGATTTTCGTCTTCCTCCACATGGGGTGGGCCCACTGCTACGTCCAGTAGCCGAGGTGTTCACAAGCGTCTAGGTTTTCTCAACTTCAGCTCAGAGACGATCCCTCCTCCCCCGTGTTCTGACGTCTTTCCTGGCTAAATGCCAGAGATCTTGCCCTTCGAAGCAGACCTCCCTTCATATAGACAGATCTTACCTTACCTTTGCAGCTGACACCCTAAGGGGAAAACTGTATGAGAATACAACAGGGTACCCATACTCTCCATTCAAGAAATGGACCCTCGGGGTTGGCTCTGTGGCATAGGGTGCCAGCATCCCAGAGCACTGGTTCAAGTCCCAGCTGCTCCATTTCCAGTCCAGCTCTTTGCTAATGGCCTGGGAAAATCAGCTGAAGATGGCCCAAATGCTTGGACCCCTGCCGCCCACGTGGGAGACCTGGATGAAGTTTCAGTCTCTTGGCTTCAGCCTGTTCAGCCCTGGCCGTTGTGGCCATCTGGGGAGTGAACCAGCAGGTGGAAGACCTCTCTCTGTCTCTACCTCTCTAACTCTGCCTTTCAAATAAATTAATTAATTTTTAAAAAGAGAAAGAAATAGACCCACAGTAATAAGCAGGCTATGGGTGACCATCTTTGTCCCGTTAGCCTCACTCATTGCCAGTTCCCTAGTCTATAAAATTAAAGCACATTACCTCGGAGGAGTACATGAGGGTGTCACATCCTTTATACACTTGTTTCTTTCTTGCCAAAGAGCAGATGCCTTAGTCACAGGCTGCTTCTAGCTTGTCCACCATACAAGCTTCTCTCTATCCCTTTTTTTTTCTTAAGAATTATTTTATTTATTTGAAAGACAGTTACAGAGAGAGGTAAAACCAGAGAGACAGGTCTTCACTCCCCAGTTGGCTGCAACGGCCGGAGCTGTGCTGATCCGAAGCCAGGAACCAGGAGCTTATTCCAGGTCTCCCACGCAGGTGCAGGGGCCCAAGGACTTGGGCCATCTTCTGCTGCTTTCCCAGGCCATAGCAGAGAGCTGGATCGGAAGAGGAGCAGCCGGGACTCGAACCGGCGCCCATAAGGGATACTGGGGCTGCAGGCTGGGCTTTAACCCACTGTGCCACAGCACCGGCCCCAGTCCTATGTTTTCTTGTGTGAAGTGCCTGTGCCCCCAGCTGGAAGAGCACCTCAGTCTGCAGGAGTCTTGGCTAAGGTCATTGTCCACTCCCCTGAGGACGCACAGCCAAGGAGATCCCGCACCTCCAGAAGCTCCATGCTTCTGTCTTCATCATGGCGCAGGGCAGCCTCTAGTCACCCTGGAGAAGCTCAAGGTTGTGCGGAGCCAAGAGCGGCCCAGTCTTCTACGTTTGAGTGATGAGTTCCAGAGGGAGAGAGCATGAGACTTTTTCCTTGTTCATTTTGGGGCAAAGAGAATGGCACGATGATGTTGTAATTCTAGGAAAACACATTTCCAAAATGTGTCTGCTTAAGAACCAGATTCTAAATGAGGTGCCAGATTGGGGGGCGGGGGAGACGAGGGAGACTGTAGGAGGGGAAAATTGCCCATATTGTGCTGGGTGAGCCAACCAGAGGTGCGATTCAAAAAGCAATTTTCAGTTATTACTAAGGCAGCTTTGTAGTGATTCCAAATGTGCCGTGAGCATGGGTTGTGTTTATTTATTTATTTATAAGATTGATTTATTTGAAAGGCAGATTTACAGAGAGGGCAGGAGGAGAGAGAGCACGTGCAAGCCTCCATCTGCTGGTTCACTCCCCAAATGGCTGCAGCAGCTGGGGCTGAGCCAAGCTGAAGCCAGGAGCCTGGAGCTCCACCCAGGTCTCCCACATGGACGGCAGGGGCCCACGCACTTGGATCGTCTTCCACTGCCTTCACAGGCACAGTAGCAGGGAGCTGGATCGGGTGTGGAGCAGCCAGGACTTGAACCACTGCCCATATGGAACGCCGGCATCGCAGATGGTGACTTAGCCCACTGTGTCACAGCGTCAGCACCATGGGCTGCCTTTAGAACCTGGCAAGGCGCTCACAAGTGAAATCCATCTCATCAGCTGAAGAGAGTGGCTTCAGTCAAACAAAAGCCACTCAGATAAGCACAAAGTGGAGAAGGCACGCCCAGATCAGAGAGTAAACGCCAGTTAGTGGCTAAGAGCAGGCACTGCCCACTGAATTTCAAACGCTGGGACGTTGGTCGGTGTCTCCAGGTCTTAGTTCTCTGGCAACACAATGACAGCTTTCACTAGATGATCTTTTGGTTTGTTTGTTTTAAAGATTTATTTATTTTTTTGAAAGAATTACAGAGAGGCAGAGGTAGAGAGAGAGAGGTCTTTCATCCACTGGTTCACTCCCCAAGTGGCCACAATGGGTGGAGCTGGGTTCATCCGAAACCAGGAGCCACGAGCTTCTTCCAGGTCTCTCACGTGGGTGCAGGGGCCCAAGGACTTGGGCCATCTTCTACTGCTTTCCCAGGCCATAGCAGAGAGCTGGATCAGAAGTGGAACAGCCATGTTTCGAACCGGCGCCCATATAAGGTGCTGACACTGCGGCTTTACCTGCTACACCCCAGCACCAGCCGTCTTCCTCTGCCTTCCCAGGCACATCAGCAGGGAGCTGGATCAGAAGTGAAGCAGCCGGGACTCAACCAGGGCTCACATGGGATGCCGGTGCTGCAGGCAGAAGTTTAACCTATAGCATCACAATGACGGCCCCCGCTTTGTGTTTTTAATTAGGGTGGTTATATTAAGGACTGGAGGCGATAATCTGCATGTTAGACATCAGCAAGCAGAATGGGCTTCAGAAAGTAATTAGGAAATGTCTGGGGGCTGGCGCTGTGGCATAGTGGGTAAAGCAGCCGCCTGCAGTGCTGGCATCCCATATGGGTGCAGGTTCAAGTCCTGGCTGCTCCACTTCTTCTTCTTCTTCTTTTTTTTATAAAGCTTGATAGTTTTTTTCTTTAAAGATTTATTTTATTTATTTGAAAGATAGAGTTAGAGAGAGAGAGAGAGAGAGAGAGAGAGAGGTCCTATCAGCCAGGACCCAAACCACTGCCCAGATGGGATGCTGGCACTGCAGACCAGGGCTTCAACTTGCTGAGCCACAGCGCCAGACCCTGCTCCACTTCTGATTCAGCTCCCTGCTGATGTACCTGGGAAAGCAGTGGAGGATGGCCCATGTCCTTGGGCCCCAGCACCTGTGGGAGACCCGGAAGAAGCTCCTGGCTCCTGGCTTCAGATGGGCCCAGTTCTAGCTGTTGCAGCCATTTGGGGAGTGAACCAGTGAATAGAAGACTTCTCTCTCTCTGCCTCTGCCTCTCTGTAGCTCTGCCTGTCAAATAAGTAAATAAATCTTTTTTTTTATTTGACAGGTAGAGTTATAGACAGTAAGAGAGAGAGGTTGAAAGATCTTCCTTCCGTTGGTTCACTCCCCAAATGGCCGCTATGGCCGGTGCTGTGCCTATCTGAAGCCAGGAGCCAGGTGCTTCTTCCTGGTCTCCCATGCGAGTGCAGGGGCCCAAACACTTGGGCCATCCTCCACTGCATTCCCGGGCCACAGCTGAGCTGGACTGGAAGAAAAGCAATCAAGACTAGAACTCAGCATCCATATAAATAAATCTTAAAAAAAAAAATCATCCACTGGCCAATTTGGGTGCCAATAGTTTAGAAAAAAAAAAAAACAGAAAAAGACCAAAAAATCATTTTCTTGAGGTGGCACCATGTACAGGCTTGAAGGAACTGAGCTAACCTGTGGAACAACAGAATATCACAAGGGTTGGCAAAAACAAACCTCCTGAGAGAAGAAAGTAAATGATTAAGGTCAAGGGCAAGTGTTCCTATTATACTGCATCGCCCCGGAACAGGGAGACGCGTAACACTGGGCAGAGGGCAAGGCTCCGGGTGTGTTTATCCAGATGAGGAGCAGCTGGGACTCAAACCAGCACCCACAGGGGATGCTGGCACTGCAGGCGGCAGCTTTACCCACGACACCACAGTGCCGGCCCCAGTGCTCTGGGATCTCGGTCAGATTCTTTAATCTTTTCCTGAACTTAGGTTTTGCTCATATGTAAAAATAAATGATATAATGATAGTATTTTTATGGGTTTGCTAGGAGAATTAAGACATTGTATAAGAGCACTTGACACGTATGGGAGGACCTGGAAACTGGTGCACCAAAGTGAACTCTCAATTCCCTTTCCCGTGGACCTTTTGAACCGCAAGCGTCTGTTCGTCCTCGGAATACACGAGCTGTGGCTTTTGTTTATCCCTGGGAAAAAGTCAAGTTCCTGATCATCTTATCTCTGTTGCAGTTTCATGCCTGCGGTGGAACTCAAGGAGAAAGGAAAGAAAGGCAGAGCCGTTCACTTTGCCGAAATGGATGGCTCAGCTTCAGAAAGGTAGCTTAGCCTCTCAGCCATGCCTGTTCTGCAGCCAGTGCGTCTCAGAGGAATGGCCCGAGTCTTCACAGACTCGGAGGAGAACCCCATTCCATTCTAGGCTGCAACGCAGATGCCCTCCAAGGAAAGAATACTATGCACTATTTCAGGATTGTGGGAGTGACATTAGTCCCTTTAAATGTGTCTCTAGGATCACTGCGCTATGGGTTCCTAGTCAATATTGTGTCATTCATTAAAGGCCCAGATAGCAGCGGCATCAGAAATAGAAGATTGAAATGATCTATTTTGGATGGAATTTAATATCATTTTATATCTGGCAGTGTGCATTTCTCTTGCTCTTAGCATAGCTATTATAATGTTTCATATAATGCATTTAAAAAAGATTATCAGTTGAAGCGTAAAGTCAGAGAGATTAGAGGCAGATGGGCTACCATTAAAAATCCGCTGGTTCACTCCCCAAATGGCTGCAACAGTGGGAGCTGGGCTGATCCAAAGCCAGGAGCCAGGAGCTTCTTCCGGGTCTCCCATGCAGGTGCAGGGTCCCAAGGACTTGGGCCATCTTCTACTGCTTTCCCAGGCCATAGCAGAGAGCTGGATTGGAAGAAGAGCAGCCGGGACTAGAACTGGCGCCTGTATGGGATGCCGGTACTTCAGGCCAGGGCGTTAATCCGCTGCACCATAGCACTGGCCCCTCATATAATGCATTCTGAGATGATGTCGCATTAAACAAAAGCTGTGCAGGACCCCCCACCCCCACCCCTCCGGGGCTCCCGATAGTACAGACCTTAGGCAGATTAGCTGCAAAACCTTTGGCAACACTGCTGGAGGCTGTTATGTTCCAAAACAGGTTGACAGATAAAAGGCTTGCCTCAAGAGACGCGACCAAAGCCTTAGAGAAGCGAGGCCGGCTGGGCTGCGTGACGCTGGATGATGTGAAGTGTGAGTGCCTGCCCTGGCCCTCCCGGAGCTTGTCTGGCGTGAGCGTCCAAGGCGGCTCTGCACACTGTCCCCTTCTCTCCTTCCAGTTGTCGTGCTGCTCTTGCTGCAGGACTCTGAGAAGCAGCGCATCTGTTCCTTTACAACGTTTATGAGGTGCGTCGTGCCGGCGAGACGTTCTCGAACGTTCACCCTCATTCTGCAGGCCTCCCGTCAGCTAAGTGAGGACAAACCCGCTTTCTGGAGAAACTGCACGAGGCTGGCTCCTAGGCAAGCCGTCTGCACTGGACTCAGTCTCTAAGGCTGACACCAAGAATCCTGGGAGAGGAAGCCAGAGATCCTGAGAGCCCCAGGTCCCAGGAGGGAGGAGGAGGCAGAGATCCTGAGAGCCCCCAAGTCCCAGGAGGGAGGAGGAGGCAGAGATCCTGAGAGCCCCCAGGTCCCAGGAGGGAGGAGGAGGCAGAGATCCTGAGAGCCCCCAGGTCCCAGGAGGGAGGAGGAGGCAGAGATCCCGAGGGCCCCCAGGTCCCAGGAGGAAGGAGGAGGCCAGAGATCCCGAGGGCCCCCAGGTCCCAGGAGGGAGGAGGAGGCAGAGATCCTGAGAGCCCCAGGTCCCAGGAGGGAGGAGGAGGCAGAGATCCTGAGAGCCCCAGGTCCCAGGAGGGAGGAGGAGGCAGAGATCCTGAGAGCCCCAGGTCCCAGGAGGGAGGAGGAGGCCAGAGATCCCGAGGGCCCCCAGGTCCCAGGAGGGAGGAGGAGGCCAGAGTCCCAGTATAGGCTGCAAACTGAGGAGGCTTCAGAAAATGGAATGAAAGGATGCACTTGTTTCTGTGCAAACAGTTGTTTTGAAATCTAGGCATCGTTTTCTGATCATCTCTATTTTGCGTGAACTTTTAAAGGACACTTCATATTTGTAGAATGGCTAAAGGATTTACCAATTTTTTAAAAAGGTTTATTTATTTTATTTGAAAGAGTTACACAGAGAGAGGAGAGGCAGAGAGAGAGGGAGAGGGAGGTCTTCCATCGGCTGGTTCACTCCCCAATTGGCCGCAACGGCCAGAGCTGCGCCTACCTGAAGCCAGGAGCTTACTCCAGGTCTCCCACGCGAGTGCAGGGGCCCAAGGACTTGGGCCATCCTCCACTGCTTTCCTAGGCCATGGCAGAGAGCTGGATCGGAAGTGGAGCAGCCGGGACTAGAACCAGCACCTTATGGGATGCCTGTGCTTCAGGCCAGAGCGTTAACCCGCTGCGCCACAGTGCCGGCCCCAGGATTTACCAATTTATGAAAGATTTATTTTCTCCACCTGTTAAGTTTGGGAGCCTTGACAAGTACTAGGTGTGTGATTATACACAAGTTTCTAGGCCTTTTTAAACTTTTTTTTTTTAATTTATTGTGTTTGAGACAGAGACAGACAGCCTGCAGCAGCCAGACCCCGCCACACAGTCTGGGTCTCCCGTGTGGGTGGCAGGGACCCACGTAGCTGAACCATCACCTCGATGCTTCCCAGGGTGCTCATTAGCAGGAAGGTGGATTGGAAGTGGAGATGGAATTGAACCCAGGGACTCCGGTATGCATCCCGAACGAGGTCCTCACCGCTGAGCCAGTTGTCCACCCCTCCTAACCTTTCTCAGCCTGGCTTCCCTAAACTTCAAAATTGGAAAGTAGTAGTGGCAGCTTTGTGGTGTGGCCCGTGGCACCTGCTCTTCTGAGTACTCAGTCAGGGGTAGGGATTCTAACCTGTTACCTCCCTCCCCAAATCCCCATAGCACGCATTGTAGGGCGAGCGCCTGTGACTAATGCAAGGCCTGCCTCTACCCCAGGACACACTCAGTCCGACCGCAGGGCATGCTAGGAACACAGAGGTGTCCATGCCAGAGGGGGAGCTCACAGATAAAACCCCAGTTTCCTTCTGTTGGGGTAGCTGTATCCCAGGATTCTACGATAATGACCTGTTGACAGCTCTGCCCCCGCCCTCCCACCCCCCACTGATGTTACCTGAAATCGCTCTCCAAATAGGCCTCTTACTCTTCTGTCTCCTTTTTGGGGTCTGTTTCCTGGGCAACTCAACTGGAGACAGGGAGTTACCAACATTTGGAAAGGGCCCCTTCATCCTGCCATACAGGTGTAGCTGAAGGAAGCACGCCAGGGGGCCTGTGGCACAGCGGGGTAAAGCTCCAGCCTGCAGCAGCGGCATCCCATGTGGGCGACGGTTCGAGTCCCGGCTGCTCCACTTCTGATCCAGCTCTCTGCTATGTCCTGGGAAAGCAGCAGAAGATGGCCCAAGTCCTTGGGCTCCTGCACCCACGTGGGAGACGGATCGGTGCAGCTCCAGCCATTTCGGCCATTTGGGGAGTGAACCAGTGAATGGAAGACCTCTCTGCCTCTACCTCTCTCTCTGTGTGTGTGTGTAACACTACCTTTCAAATAAATAAAATAAATCTTAAAAGAAAAAAGTATGCCAGAATAAGAAGTTCCATTTGGGCATAGAGAGAAGACAACAAAAGTCGTGTGAGAAGAACAGTTAGAAAGACGACAATGACTTCTAGTGAAAAACACCTGAGACAGCATTGTATGTCCGCCCAGTCTCTGGCGAGAAAAATGTTCCAGTGATTTCACTCTACTGCCAGCATTTTTCTTTTTTTCTTTTCTTTTTTTTTTTTTGACAGGCAGAGTGGACAGTGAGAGAGAGAGACAGAGAGAAAGGTCTTCCTTTTGCTGTTGGTTCACCCTCCAATGGCCGCTGTGGCCGGTGCACCGCGCCGATCTGATGGCAGGAGCCAGGTGCTTCTCCTGGTCTCCCATGGGGTGCAGGGCCCAAGCACTTGGGCCATCCTCCGCTGCACTCCCGGGCCACAGCAGAGAGCTGGCCTGGAAGAGGGGCAACCGGGACAGAATCCGGAGCCCCGACTGGGACCGGGACTAGAACCCCGTGTGCCGGCGCCGCAAGGCGGAGGATTAGCCTAGTGAGCCGCGGCGCCGGCCATACCGCCAGCATTTTTCAAAGACGTCAATACCCACCCATAAGGGCCTGGCTAAATAACTTGGGAGATACGGAGCACTCTCTTCAGCTGTTGATAAGACAGGGAGAATCTGTACCAAGTGTCACAGGGGTCCAGGTCGCACAAGCAAAGAATGGTGTCTATAGCATCATCCCACTGACGGCCAGAAGGAGACATGTGTCAGCCTATGCTGCCGAGGGAGGGTGTGGTGTGTGACTGCCCGCTTTAGAAATCCTAGGGCGTCTTCACATCAAACTCCCAAAAGTGGCTGCCACTAGGAAGGCGGATGGTGATGAAGACATGAGAGAAGAGCCTATTAACTTGGTACATTTACGTACTTAATTAAAAAATTTTAAAGGGGCCAGCACTTTCACTTTATAAAGGTTTTTATTAGGCGACATATTTTCATTGTTCAAAAACCGCTTCTAGGGACCGGCGCTGTGGTGTAGCAGATAAAGCCACTGCTTGCAGTGCAGGCATCCCTTATGGATGCCGGTTCGAGTCCAGCTGCCCCACTTCTGATCCAGCTCTCTGCTATGGCCTGGGGAAGCATAAGATGGCCCAAGTGCTTGGGCTCCCGCACCCCCATGGGAGACCTGGAAGAAGCTCAAGATCTGCCCAGCTTCGACCATTGTGGTCATCTGGGGAGCATTACAGAGGCAGAGACAGAGAGAGAGAGGAAGAGAGGTCTTCCATCTGCTGGTTCACTCCCCAAATGACCGCAGTGGCTGGAGCTGGGCCGGTCCAAAGCCAGGAGCCAGGAGCTTCTTCCTGGTCTTCCACACTGGTGCAGGGACCTAAGGACTTGGTCCACCTTCCACTGCTTTCTCAGCACATTAGCAGGGAGCTGGATCAGAACTGGAGCAGCTGGGACTGGAACCAGCACCCGTATGAGATGCCAGTGCTGCAGGTGCCGGCTTTACCTGCTCTGCCACAGCGCTGGCCCCAGTTGGTGGAATTTTAAATGGCCAACTAATTGTGCACAAGGCACAATGAAACATTTCTACTTATTCTTTTGCTGTGTGCCCATGGTTTTTTTTTTTTTAATGTGAAACCTTATATTTGAATTATGCGAATGTTTATATATTTTCTTTTTTTCATATCTCCTCACAGGAATAAGAGTCTTGACAATTTCCTCATGGCATTATTGTACTACTTAGCATATTACTTGGAAAAAAACTCACTGGAAAAGAAACCCAAAAGCTATATGGTGTAAGTAAGATTTCATAATGTACTTTGGACTCTTATCACACCAGTATTTTTTTAAAAGATTTTATTTATTTGAGAAGTAGAGTTATAGACAGTGAAAGGTAGAGATAGAAAAGTCTTCCACCCACTGGTTCACTCCCCAAATGGCCACAATGGCTGGAGCTGAGCTGATACGAAGCCAGGAGCCAGGAGCTTCTTCTGGGTCTCCCACACGGGTGCAGGGGCCCAAGCTTGGGCCATCCTCCACTGCTTTCCCAGGCCATAGTAGAGAGCTGGATTGGAAGTGGAGCAGCTGGGACTAGAACCAGCGCCCATATGGGATGCCCGCACCACAGGCAGAGGATTAACCCACGGTGTCACAGCACCAGCCCCATGGCCGGTATCAAAACTAATTATTGTCTTAGGTAGAGATGATTATAACTTTTTTTTTTAAAAAAAGATTTATTTTATTTATTTGAAAGACAGCATTACAGAGAGAGGTAGAGACAGAGAGAGAGAGAGGTCTTCCATCTGCTGGTTCAACTCCCCAGATGGCCGCAAAAGCTGGAGCTGCGCCGATCCGAAGCCAGGAGCCAGCAGCTTCTTCTGGGTCTCCCACATGGGTGCAGGAGCCCAAGGCCTTGGGCCATCTTCTACTGCTTTCCCAGGCCATAGCAAAAAGCTGGATGGGAAGAGGAGCAGCTGGGTCTTGAACTGGTGCCCATATGGGATGCCGGCACTGCAGGCACTAGCTTTACCCACTACGCCACAGCACCAGCACCCCCTAATAAATATTTTTAAAGTCACTTTCACATATATATTTTTATATTTAAAAAAAATGCTTCATTTTATTCGTTTGAAAGGCAGTTACACACACACACACACACACACAGAGAGAGAGAGAGAGAGAATCTTCCATCTGCTGGATTACTCCCTAAATGCCTGTAACAGGCAAGTCTTGGGTGCTTTGAAGCCAGAAGCCTGGAACTCCATCTGGGTGTCCCACATGGGTGGCAGGGGCCCAAGCCCTTGAGCCGTCTTCCCCTCTCATCGCATTAGCAGGAAGCTGCATCAGAAACAGAGCAGCCAGGGCTCAAACCCACACTCCAGTATTGGGTGCTTAACCTACTGCACCACAACACCAGCTTCTGCTTCTTTTTAATACTGATGTATAGAGGCCGGCGCTGTGGCACAGCGGGTTAAAGCCCTGGCCTGAAGTGCCGGCATCCTGTATGGGTGCCAGTTCTAGTCCCAGCTGCTCCTCTTCCGATCCAGCTCTCTGCTATGGCCTGGGAAAGCAGTAGAAGATGGCCCAAGTCCTTGGGCCCCTGCACCCACGTGGGAGACCAGGAGGAGGCTCCTGGCTTAGGATCGGCGCAGCTCTGGCCGTTGCAGCCATCTGGGGAGTGGACCAGTGGATGGAAGACCTCTCTCTCTGCCTCTCCTTCTCTCTCTGTGTAACTCTGACTTTCAAATAAATAAATAACTCTTAAAAAATAAACTGATATATAAGAATCATACATATTTATGGAGTACCATCTGGTGTTTCAATACTTGTAGACCTTGAGTAAAATTCAAATCAGGATAAACATATCCCATCTCACATAGTTACCATTTCTTCCAGTGAAAACCTTCAAAATCCTTTAGGTGAAATTAATTTTAATAGCATGTTTTATTTAACTCAGGTATCCAGAAATTTGATCATTGCAACATGTTGTCAACACTGGGAAGTTATTAATGATCTATTTTACTTTTCTTGTAATAAATCTGGGAGACCAGGTGTCTATTTTATTCTTTTTTAAAATTTTTTTATTATTTGACAGGCAGAGTTATAGATAGAGAGAGACAGAGAGATAGGTCTTCCTTCTGTTGGTTCATTCCCCAAATGGCCGCTACGGCTGGTGCTGCGCCAATCTGAAGCCAGGAGCCAGGTGCTTCTTCCTGGTCTCCCATGCGGGTGCAAGGCCCAAGCACTTGGGCCATCCTCCACTGCCTTCCCGGGCCACAGCAGAGAGCTGGACCAGAAGAGGAGCAACCGGGCTGGGACTAGAACCTGGCGCCCATACGGGATGCCAGCGCCGCAGGTGGAGGATTAACCAAGTGAGCCACGGCGCCGGCCCTTTTTTTTTTCTTTTCAAAACTGCTGCCAGATACATCTGTTTTTCAAACTGCTTGACTGCATACAAGGGCTTTGCATTTTCAAACAGTCTGCAGGGACAAGTTAATGGTTCTCTCCAGCATTCCTGCGAGCAAAACATCACTGGGTTGGCGCCACACACGCTGGGGAGGGCATTCCGGGCACATGGAAAGTTCCTTGGCTTCCAAAAGGTCACCAATGCCGGGCGCCATTGTTCTGCTCCGGACTCTGAGTTGCCAGATTCTTGCCCCGGGTGTGCTTCTCAGAGCCACTTCTGCCTAGAGCAGTTAAATTCTGTCAAAGCCGCCTAAGAAACCTCGGGTTTTTCTGCCGTCATGTGGAATGTCATTTTGGACAAATCCACTAATTTTTGTAATTCTTGGCTTTTCTTACTAGATATTTACAAACCGTTTAGCAAGAACTGCATAAGCACAAAAACATTCAAACAACATCTGGACTTGCATTGCTTGGTAGGGTAGCCAGTAGCCACACTGGTTACTGAGCTCCTGCTGGGGCTAGCCTGGGTCAAGATGTGTTTAAAGAATATAAATAGGGAGACTGGCGCCGTGGCACAGCAGGTTAAGCCTCGCCTGCAGTGCTGGCATCCCATATGGGTGCCAGTTCTAATCCTGGCTGCTCCTCTTCCAATCCTGCTCTCTGCTGTGGCCTGGGAAAGCAGTGGGAGATGGCCCAAGTCCTTAGGCCCCTGCACCCACATGGGAGACTAGGAAGAAGCTCCTGGCTCCTGACTTCGGATTGGCACAACTCTGGCCGTTGTGGCCATTTGGGGAGTGAACCAGTGATGGAAGATGGAAGACACCCACACACACACTGTCTGTAACTCTACCTCTCAAATAAATAAATAAAAACCTTAAAAAAAAAGAATAAAAATAGGGGCCAGTGGTTTGAGGTAGCAGGTAAAGCCACCACCTGCAGTGCCGGCATCCCATATGGGCACCAGTTCAAGACCCGGCTGCTCCTCTTCTGATCCAGCTCTCTGCTGTGGCCTGGGAAAGCAGTAGAAGATGGCCCAAGTCCTTGGGCCCCTGCACCTGCGTGGGAGACCTGGAAGAAGCTCCTGGATCCTGCACAGCTCCAGCCATTGCAGCCAATTGGGGAGTGAACCAGCGGATGGAAGATCTCTCTCTGTCTCTCTCTCTGCTTCTCCTTCTCTCTCTGTGTAACTCTGACTTTCAAATAAATCTTCTTTTTGAAAAAAAAAAAACTTTGGGGACCAAGCCTTTAATACATGCCCCTTTGGGAGACAGTCAATATCCAAACTGTTGCATTGACCCAGTACTGGGCATGTGGGAAAAAAAACCCATAGCCTGGAGGAAGAGAGCAGATAGGGCTGGAGAGAGATGTCAGAGGCCGCCGGCTTGGGTTTTGAAAAGCCCTCATTCTGGAAGCGGTAGCCTCATTCCCATTTGATAGCTGGAAAAACTTGGTCTCCAGGAGGTTCGGGAGTTTGTTGGAGAGGACATAGCAGCTGCTGGTGGGACTGAGATTTGAACCCAGGTCTGTCTAAAAGCCTCTGCCTTCCAGCTGTACAGTGTGTCTTATACCCACTCCCAACCCCCTCTGCTCTCTTTTCTAGAGTCGAGCCATTCATCCTTAGGATTTGAAGCTTCTGAACAAAGGCACAATTATGTGTGGGCTTCAAACATCGTATCAGAAGCACTTTTCCAATTATTACCATCCTCACAATGGCAGTTGCACAAATTTCCAGCAAACCAATATATACGAATTGATAACCTATTAAGAGATAGTATACAATGGTGTTTCAGGGTACAGATTTTGATGCCTGGGTTAAATCTCACAGAGACCCACTGATATATCAGGTTAATAAATATCAAGTCTTTAAAATTTTCCTCTATTTTATATATTTTGGTGATTTCCACTTTTTCTAATAAATAACACCTTTACTGGATATTTTGTGTGTAAAATTTGCTCCCCAATTTTGAATGATTTTTTTTAGGGGAAAGGGTTTATTGGGGAGAACCCAGCAGACCAGAGGGAAGAGGTGAAGAGGGAGAAGGAGAGTAAGAGAGAAGGAGGAGGGAGGTGAGGAGAGAGGGGAGTGAGAGAAGAGAAGAGGAGGCTAGAGAGAGAGAAGAGAGAAGCCAAGAGAGACGAGAGGAGGAGAGGAGAGCAGATGAGAGGAGCCCAGCTTGAATGATTTTTTTAATTTATTTTTTTGAAATAAGTTACACAGAGAGAGAAGAGGTAGAGAGAGAGAGGGAACAAGGTCTTCCATCTGCTGGTTCACTCCCCAGATGGCCGCAGTGGCTGGAGCTGTGCCGATCCGAAGCCAGGAGCTTCTTCCAGGTCTCCCACATGGCTGCAGGGGCTCAAGCACTTGAACCATCCTCCTCTGCTTTCCCAGGCCATTAGCAGAGAGCTGGATAGGAAGTGGAGCTGCCGAGACCCAAACCGGTATCCATATGGGATGCTGGCACTGAGGGGGCAGCTTTACCTGCTACATCATAGCGCCAACCCTGGATGATCGTTTTCTTAAAGAATAAATTTCCATGCGAGAGATTATTGGGTCAAAATTTATGATCATTCTCATGTTTCTTAAAATTATTTTCCAGCTTTTTTACACCATTGTTCTGTTGTCAGTAATATATAAATATATCAGTTTCAACAAAATTTTATCAGTGTTATCATTTGCATTTTTAAAGATTTATTTATTTATTTGAGAGTCAGAGTTACAGAGAGGGTGGGGGGAGAGACAGAGAGAGAGAGAGAGATCTTCCATCCCCTTGTTCACTCCCTAAAAGGTCACAACAGCTGGAGCTGGGCTGTTCTGAAGCCAGGAGCTAGAAGCTTCTTCCGGGTCTCCCACATGGGTGCAGGGACCCAAGCATTTGAACCATCCTCCTCTGCTTTCCCAGGCCATTAGCAGAGAGCTGGATAGGAAGTGGAGCAGCCAGGACTTGAACTGGTGCCCTTACGGGATGCCGGCACCACAGGCGGAGGCTTTACCTACTACACCACAGACCCGGCCCCAGCCGCTTGCATTTTTAAAGACCAGTGTCTCGGGCGTATTTAAGGCCGTGTTGCAGAATGAAGTGGAAAGAGAAGCAGAGGAGGAGGGATGGCTTTCACAGACAGAATTGCTGCAGCCACATCAGCTTGGACTCTGCATTTGCATCTGAGTCAGCTTCCCTAGCCTAGATTATTTTAATAACCTATAATTATTTTAATAATACTATTTTTAATAATCTCCGGCAGGATCACACTGCAGAAGTCTTGTAGAATTAGCCTTCAGCCATGGTGTCAGCCAAGAACAGCTTTGTCTTCTAGAAAGTTCGTTTGCAATTTGATGGGTGGTGGGGCTGTGTTTTCACAGGGGAGCCGGGTTATGTTACTGATGCCCGGGGTTCCCACAGTGATTGATAACCCATACCTGCCTCCCCCAGTGAGCCCAGCTAAACACAGAACCAAAGGTGGGCCCGTGGCCGCAGCCCCAAGCGCAGGCTTTGTGGTGACACCAGGACCACAGCCAGTGCTGCCGAGGCAAGGTATCAGGAAAATTGGAAAATTGAGACAGCCAGCCCTCAACAACCAGTTGAGTCATTTGTTGGTTGAACTGCTCTATGGGAACTAGGACTACCCGGATGTGACACTGGGGACCTAGGGACGGGGCGACCGCCTGGCAGTCACAGTGTGGGTTAATCCACCACACCCCTCATCACGGTACCTGGGTTTGATTGCCATCTCCAGCTCCTGAATTCAGTTTCCTGCTGATGCAGACCCTGGCAGGCAGCGGGTGATGGCCCAAGTGACTGTTAGTTTTTTTGCACTTTAAGATTCAAAGAAGGCAAGGAGGCAGCTAGTTAAATGGAAAAGACTTTATTTGGGGCCGGCGTTGTGGCATAATGGGTTAGGCTGCTGCCTGCAATGCTGGCATCCTATAGGGTCACTGGTTCAAGTCCCCGCTGCTCCACTTCCAATCCAGCTCCCTGCTGATGCACCTGAGAAAGCAGCAGAGGATGGCCCAAGTCCTGAGGCCCCTGCCCCCATGTGGGGGACCCAGATGAGGGGCTCCTGGCCTAGGTCTGGCCCAGCCCTGGCTGTTGAGGCTGTTCTGTCTCTCGGTCTCTCTCTGTGACTCTGCCTTTCAAATTAAATCTTAGAGAGAGAGTCGGGGTGGGGGCAGGGGTGGGGGCAGGGGGTCGGGCCCGCTGGGCACAGGGCAGGGTTGAAGCCAGGCTTCACTGGTGTGCTCAGATGCTTGTTGGGGGAAGTGCAGGGCGCCACAGGGACCCTGCAGGCGGATGGGCCAGCAGAAGGCTGCCTGGTGATGTTTGCAGTGCTTGTCTTAGCAGCTGGGAATGCCCAGAGCAAGAAGCGCCTCCCTAGCCTTCAGAGTCCCTATCTGCACCCAGCTTCATCGGCCCTGAGGCTTCAGTGGCCTAAATAGGTTCTCGCACTGATTGGGTTCCTGTCGCCCATGTGGAAGACCTGGCTTGCGCGCCTCGCTCCTGGCTTCAGCGCAGCCCCTGCCACTGTGGGCATTTAGGGAGTGAATCGGTATAGGTGGAGTCTAATAAGTTCATTAACACAAATTTTATAAAATTTAAAATTAAGGACAGGCCGGCACCGCGGCTCACTAGGCTAATCCTCCGCCTTGCGGCACTGGCACACCGGGTTCTAGTCCTGGTCGGGGTGCCGGATTCTGTCCCGGTTGCCCCTCTTCCAGGCCAGCTCTCTGCTGTGGCCAGGGAATGCAGTGGAGGATGGCCCAAGTGCTTGGGCCCTGCACCCCATGGGAGACCAGGAAAAGCACCTGGCTCCTGGCTCCTGGCTCCTGCCTTCGGATCAGCGTTGTGTGCCGGCCGCAGCGTGCTGGCCGCGGCGGCTATTGGAGGGTGAGCCAATGGCAAAAGGAAGACCTTTCTCTCTGTCTCTCTCTCTCTCTCACTGTCCACTCTGCCTGTCAAAAAATAAAAAAATAAAATAAAAATTAAGGACACATAGCATTAAGTAATAACAGATATATAAAACAGTAGAAATTCTCCGTAAACCCGAGATGCCGAGTCCAGTGATTAAGTCGCAAGGGGCTTTGAGGATTTTTCCTGCCACAGCTCAGGTGAGTTCATCGGGAAAGTGAGGTCTGTGGGCTCACTTGTGTCTCTCATGATCATAGCTGACGGCGCTGACGTTTCTGCGGACCCTGATAGGCATTTGCCGAGGTTAACGCACAGTGTCTTTTTCCGCACCCGCAGAGGCCTTGTGGAGAAAAAAGAGATGGAGCTGGCTGCGAGTAAGTTGGAAGCAGCGCAGAGATACCTGGCGCAGAAGTACTGTGTCCTCGTGCTGGGCCTGGGCATGCCGGACAAGCACCACATGTCCTGTGGGAAGTAAGCCAGCGCCCAGGGCCCTCCCTCCGCCCCACTGTGCCCGGCTCTTCGCAAAGGTCGCGGGAAATGCGGGTTCTGAAGACACCACACTTGGATTTCCGTGTTTTTCCCCTACCACAGTGAACCTGTCTTTCCATCCCATTTCTCCATGAACTTTTTTTTTTTAGATTTTATTTATTTATTTGAGGGGCAGAGTTACAGACAGACAGAGGGAGAGACACAGAGAGAAAGGTCTTCCATCTGCTGGTTCATCCCCCAAATGGCCACATCGGCTGGAGCTGGGCTTATCCGAAGCCAGCAGTCAGGAGCCAGGAGCCTCCTCTGGGTTTCCCTCATAGATGCAGGGGGCACTCGGGCCATCTTCTGCTACTTTCACAGGCCATAGCAGAGAGCTGGGTCAGTAGTGGAGCAGCTGGGACTCGAACCGGCCCCCATATGGGATGCCAGCACTGCAGGTGGCGGCTTTACCTGCTACGCCACAGCGCCGGTCCAGAGATCCCACTTTCATCTAATTTTTGGTACTCTAGAGAAAGTGTTCCATTTTTCTTGTCCAGAATACCTGAACTCAGGTGAGACTCTGTCCTAAACACCTGTGATGTCTCCTTTGAGAGAGCCGAAGTGGATTTGGAAGGAACCCCAGAATCTCCAATGATGGTTTAGAAACTGCACTGTATGGCAGTGAGTACCTCAGCCTCTCAGCCAGGAGGGGCTCCTGCTGCCTTGCAGGGAGTAGGGGCTGGGGGGTGGGGGAGGCAAGTGAGCGGCCAGTGTGGTCCTAAGGGGACTGCATGGCTCCGTCCCTTTCGCTGCCTAGTGTGCAGCACCCTGGTTGTGAGTACCACCTGCTAAGCGGTGCTTATGAGATGACTTTGTCTGTGGGAAGACAACTTTGCAGCAGCAGTTTCTATGCTATTGCAATTAGAATGCAAAAAGGAGGATGCTGGTGTTGGGGCACAGTGAGTTAAGGAGCCACCTGTGACAATGGCAATCTGAGACCTGGCTGCTGCACTTCCCATCCAGCTCCCTGCTAATGCACCTGGGAAAGCAGTGGAAGATGACCCAAGTACCTGGGCCCCTGATACCCATGTGGGAGACCAGGATGGAGTTTTTGGCTCCTGGCTTTCGTCTGGTCATTGTGGCCATTTGTGGAGTGAACCAGCTAATGGAAGCTCGCTCTCTCTCTCTCTCTGTCAAATAAATAATTAAATCTTTTAAAAAAAATTATTAAAAAGAGCCTCATGACAGGACTGTTTGGGGTCACAGGACAGAAAGCTCCAGTCCTCAAACCACAGTCTCCTCTGAGCAGGTTCACAGCAGCCTAAGATCTGCATCATGCATCTTCGCCACAGCTAGGATTTTTTTTTAACTCAGTAGATGAATCTAATGCACGATGTATTTGTCTCCACATTCCCAATCTTTTCTTTCTTATTTTTTAAAGATTTGTTTATTTAATTTGAAAGTCAAAGTTACAGAGACAGACAGACAGACAGATCTTCTATCTGCTGGTTCACTCCCCAAATGGCCACAACAGCTGTAGCTGGGCTAGACAGATACCAGGAGCTTCTTCCAGGTCTCCCAAGTGGGTGCAGAGCCCTAAGCACTTGGGTCAACTTCTGCTGCTTTTCCCAGGCCATAGCAGAGAGCTGGATCGGAAGTGGAGCAGCCAGGACTCGAACCGGCGCCCATATGGGATGCTGGCACTGCAGGCAGCAGCTTTACTTGCTTTGCCACAGCACTGGCCCCTTCCCCACCTTTTCAGAGTGTGTATACAGCTCTGTCAATGGGCATACACATGCAGTCATTCACATGTACGTTTTCCTTGCCCACGTTTTCTGTGTACTTTCTATTATTCTTATATGATCTCTCTTAGAACTTTGAATGGCAGCTGTCATTATTCTGTCATGTCATACTGTCATTTATTTAACCATTCTTTTTGTGTACATTGGTGTGCTTTCATTTTTTTCTGTCTTATAATATTTCTGCATTCAATATCTACATAAATTACTTCATTTGGGCAATTTCTTTTTTTTAAAGATTTATTTATTTATTTGAAAGGCAGAGTTGCAAAGAGGCAGAGGCAGAGAGAGAGAGAGAGAGAGAGAGAGGTCTTCCATCGGCTGGTTCACTCAGAGCTGGGCTGGTCCGAAACTAGCTCCCTCCAGGTCTCCCACATGGGTGCGTGGGCCCAAGCACCTGGGCCATCTTCTACTGCTTTCCCATAGCAGAAAGCTGGATCAGAAGTGGAGCAGCTGGGTCTTGAACCGGCGCCCTTATGGGATGCTGGCACTGCGGGTGGTGGCTATACCCGCTACACCACAGCGCCAGCCCCCATTTGGGCAATTTCTTCATGGCCTGCTACCCAGATTATATTTACCTAGAAGGCACATGCTGTTTTGCAGCTCTGGATATGTAGTGCCAGATTGTTCTCCGGAAAGGCTAAAACATTTTGTTATCATTACCAATAAGCACCCTTACCTGTGTTGGGTTTTATTATTTTAACAATTTTGAAGTTTAAAAGTGCATAAAAATCCCAAACTCATTCTATCTGACTTTGAAAGCATTTGTGACGACAGCGACTGTGCTCTTTTTTTTGGTATGAAAGAATGTGTTGCCTGTTCATTTAGGGTTGACCATTTTCCAACTGGAAGCTGGCTTTTGTATAATCCCTCTGTATGTTCCTGTAGCAAGGATGGACCGGTTTTATAATGCTCCGTTCATTTGAGAGGCAGACGGGAGCTGATTCACTTCCCACATTCACACAACAGCCAGGGCTGGGGCCAGGCTGAAGCTGGAGGCCAGGGACTTAAGCCAGGTCTCCCAAGTGGGTGGCAGGGGCTGAGTGCTTGGCCCATCACCCGCTGCCTCCCTCAGTGCACATCAGCAGGAAGCTGGAATTGGGAGCAGATCTGAGTCTTCAGCCTCAGCATTGGATGTTGGCTGCCATTGTCTTAACCGGCATCTTAACTACTAGCCTAATGCTCACCTTGGCCTAGTAAAGGCCATATCCCATATGGGTGCCGGTTTGAGTCCTGGCTGCTCCACTTCTGATCCAGCTCTCTGCTATGGCCTGGGAAAGCAGTGGAAGATGGTCCAAGTGCTTGGGCCCGTGCACCCACGTGAGAGACCTGGAAGAAGCTCCTGGCTCCTGGCTTTGGATTGGCACAGCTCCAGCTGTTGCGGCCATCTGGGGAGGGAACCAGTGGATGAAAGACCTCTTTCTCTCTCTCTCTCTCAGCCCCCGGCCTTCTCTCTGTATTTCTGCCTTTCAAATATAAATAAATAAATCTTAAAAAAGCTAATTCTAGGGGCAAACATTTGACCTAGCGGGTAAGAAGCCAGTTGGGACACCTGATCCCATATCAGAATGCCTGGGTTCAATCCCCAGTCCATCTCCTGATTCCAGCTTCCTGCTAACACAGACCCTGGAAGAGAGTGGTCATAGCCCAGGTGATTGTGTCCCTGGCACCCACAAGAGAGATCTGGATCGGGTTCCTGGCCCTTGGTTTCAACCCTAGGGTTGCTCCAGCCATTGTAGGCATTTGGGAAGTGAATCAGTACCTGTCCTTTGCCCTCTGTCTTTCAAATGAAAATAATAATGATAATTTCACTTCCTGTACTTAATGTCAACTCACATACACATTACAAACTGACTTGGGATTTTAAAAACTATAAATAATTATGCCACAAGGAAATATTTTATCATATTGCTTGGATTCCTGAGTACATGAGGGTACTTCATAAAATTTGTGGAAAATGAGAGAGGAAGATAAGCTTATTTTGATGTACACATAGTTTTCTAATAATGAGTGTTCCCCAGGGACTCTTTGAAATTCCCATGTATGTGACCTGAGCCACAACTTGAGTTTCTTCAGCTGTAAATGGGAATAACAACACTGGTGACCTCAAAGGGAAACCACAAGGACCAGGTGCAGCGATAAATGAGAAGGGCCAGCATAGCATTTGGCATCCAGTCTGTACCCAGTGTAGCTCTTGCCTTAATTCTTTGTTGAAGACTTGCAGTTGGGGCTGGCACTGTGGTTTAGCGGGTTAAAACCCCAGCCTGCATCCCATATGAACGCCAGTTTGAGTCCCAGCTGTTCCACTTCCCATCCAGCTCCCTGCTAATGCACCTGAGAAAGCAGCAGAGGATGGCCTAAGTCCTTGGGCCCCTGCACCTGCGTGGGAGACCTGGAAGAAGCTCCTGGCTCCTGGCTTTGGATTGGCACAGCTCTGGCCATTGAGGCCATTTGGGGAGTGAACCAATGAATGGAAGACCTCTCCCTCTCTCTCTCTGTAACTCTACCTTTCAAATAAATAAAATAAATCTTAAAAAAAAAATGCTTGCACTTGAGGACATTAGTGTATAGTTAAGAGTGTGAAGGAAGAGAGAACAGGTCCCAGCAAATGCTGAGCCGCCTCATCAGCCTCACACCCATAAGTGACTGGCTAGTTTGGGTTCCTACAGGCAAAGTGAAGAGGTGATAGGTTTTGAGGGGTTTGGGTTTGTGGATGGCTCTGGAGAGCCCAGTCCCAGGGCCAGTCCCAGGAGTCACGGTTACTGCAAGGAAGACCCACGCCTGCAAAAGCAGCAGCAGAACCCGAGTGCTCGGGCTAGCTCTGGCCCACGGGACAGGTCAAGTGACTGCAGGCGCATAGCCACCTTCCAGGCCTGCCTGCTTCCCTAAAGCTGGGGTCGGAACTGGCATGGCCTATGTTGAGAGGAGAAACAGTCTCTCTCAGTGTGTCCAGACCAGTACAATGCTCTTGGGCCTGAATTTGGGTTGCAAGGACTCTTGGGGAAATTTCTGTCCTTACGAGATAAGGTGCAAGTCAGCCTATTGATGGCATGATATAGAATTTTGTCCATTTTGTGTGTTCCTTTTTTTAAAAGTTGTGTGTATGTGTTTGTGTGTGTGTGTGTACATATATGTATAGTTAAAAGACAGGGAGAGAGAGAGAGAGAGAGACAGGGATTATCCACCCACTGGCTAATTCCCCAAATGGCTGTAACAGTTCACACTAGGCCAAGCAGAAGCCAGAAATCACAGACTCTATCCGGGTCTCCCACATGGGTGGCAGGGACTCAAGCACTTGGGCCATCACCTGCTGCTTCCCAGGTGCATTAGCAGGGAGCCGGCTTAGACGTGGAGTAGTTGGGACTCCAACCAGCACCCTGGTATGGGGTGCAGGCATCCCAAGTGGCAGATGGACCCCCTGAACCACAATGCCTGCCTTGCATGGCTGTTGCTTTTACACCCAGCAACCACAGTCGTCACTGAAGATTTCTTCTCCTTCACTGGGACTTACCCTCTGGTTCTGTGCTGCCAAACCCTCCTGATATTTCACATCACCTCTTGGTCGCTTTTCCACTGCCTTTCCTCCCGGCATTCCCCTCCCCAGCAGCATGGGCAGGGACGCGCTTCCTCACTGTACCCAGTCTGTAGAATCAGCACACCATTTGATCGTGCCCTCTAAGGGTTTCGTTTGGAGTAACCAAGGCAGTTGAATAAGGTGTTGAGACTCCTTATCGATGCCATTTGATAGCTTTGATGCGGCTAACTAGACTTGGGGCCGGAGGTGACGATCCCACAATCGGGGAAGATGGACAGGAGCCAGACCACTGGAAGACTGAACTTTCTCCTCACCCGAGAGTCATGCTTTGTTATTTTGTAGGGAGAAAATCTCAGATACGCAGAAAGACTGGAAATTCTTTGAGGTGAGTCACTTACATTTATATTTTTAATTTTCTTTAAGATGCCCACTTTTAAAAAAAAAGGATTTATTTATTCATTTGAAAGAGTTAGAGAAAGAGGAGGAAGAGGAAGAAAGAGAGGAAGAGAGGAGGAGAGAGATCTTCCATCTGCTGGTTCCACAATGGCCAGGCCAAAGTCAGGAGCTTCATCCAGGTCTCTCACATGGCTGCAGGGGCCCCAGCACTTGGACCATCCTCCGCTGCTTTCCCAGGCACATTAACAGGGAGCTGGATCAGAAGTGGAGTGGCCGGGATTCGAACTGGTACCCACATGGGATGCAGGCTGTGGCTTTGACCCACTGCTCCACAGTGCCAGCCGCTCACTTGCGTTTTAGAGCTTTTCTCTTTGGCAGGAAGCATGACATACAGCAGTAACCTGTACATTTTGTCAGGCACTCAGTTTTATTACATATCCTACCTGAAAAGGATGCTAATACACTAGATGCTGTGCCTTGAATTTTTTTTAAAAGATGCATTTTTATTTATTTGAAAGACAGAGTTACAGAGAGAGGTAGAAGCAGAGAGAGGTCTTTCATCCGCTGGTTCACTCCCCAAATGGCCACAATGGCCAGAATTGAGCTGATCCGAAGCCAGGAGCCAGGAGCTTCCTCTGAGTCACCCACATGGGTGCAGGGGCCCAAGAATTTGAGGCATCTTCTACTGCTCTCCCAGGCCATAGCAGAGAGCTGGATCAGAAGAGGAGCAGCCGGGACTGGAACTGGCACTCGTATGGGATGCCGGCACTGCAGATTGGGGCTGTAACTCACTGCACCACAGCACCGGCCCCACCTTAATTTCTGATCTGATTTTTCCCCCTGCAAACGTGAGTAGGTGTTGGATTTCGCAGAGCTCTGCAGGAACATTGAGGAGCTGCCCCCCGCCGCGGCTTGCGTCTACATGGCAGTGTGACTTAGTGCGGCTGGGGAAGGTAATCCCTGCCTGCTTTCTGTTGCAGTGTTTTTACACTTTCTGCACGTATGTGGCTTGGGTTGTCTTCCGGCGTCAGCACTTGACAGAGATTGAGGAAGAGGTAGGACGGCTCTTCCGTACCAGCATGTTCAACATCCCTCGAAGAAAACGTGAGGACGAAGAATTAGGAGGGGAGAAGAAACGCATGACCTTCGTGCAGTTCAGGTATGACCTTCCGGTTTCCCTAAGCTGAAGCGGGGTTCTAGAAAGCAGGGCAAAGTGACCCACATGTCACCTCCTCCTCCCCTCGCAGGAGAATGATGGCAAAACGGCCAGCAATCAAGAAAGCCATCAATATGCGCTCCCCCGTCATGTCCACCCTGCTGCCCTCTCACCGGGAAAAAGCTCAGACTATCGTTGAGAAAAAGTATCTTCAAGTAGGCGCCAAACTCCCGGCTCAGACACACCTGGACTTTGTACCCCTGCCGAAGTAAGTGGTCCAAGGAGCAAGACAGGGTAGGCCTGTTGTGGCTTAGGCGGGGCGGGGGGCGGGGGGGCGCTGCCAGGTTTTGCAGGGATGAGAGCACCTGCCTCCCTACATTCCCCCTGCCCCTCCCCACCTGTCTCCCAGCCGGAGCATCCCTAGGCACCTCCGCCTAGACAAGAAAGACATTGCTGCAAGGTCGTGCCAGACTCCAAGGAGTTTGAGTTGGGAGGAGTGAGTCACAGACTTTATTTTTTTTTTAAGATTTATTTTATTTTTTTTATTTGAAAGACAGAATTACAGAGAGAGGTAGAGACAGAGAGAGAGGTCTTCCATCTGCTGGTTGACTCCCCAGATGGCTGCAATGGCCAGAGCTGCGTCAATCTGAAGCCAGGAGCTTCTTCTGGGTCTCCCACGTGGGTGCAGGGGCCCAAGGATTTGGGCCATCTTGTACTGCTATTCCAGGCCATAGCAGAGAACTAGATAGGAAGAGGAGCAGCCAGGATTCGAACCGGCGCCCATATGGGATGCCGGCGCTTCAGGCCAGGGTGTTAACCCGCTGTGCCGCAGCGCCAGCCCTAAGTCACAGACTTCCTAAGGAGGAGCTTTTTCTGCTATGCAAAAAATAGAAATGTTTTTGGGAAATGTGTAAGAATGCAGTGGAAGTTCACGGGAAATAGAACAGCTTTACAAAAACGGGCGTGTGTGTGCATGTGCGTGTGTTAGTCTTGGCTTTAGTGCACACACACACACATGCACAGAGGCGTGCCCACAGTCTTTGGCCTACTGCTTCATCTGTACCATTCATTCTTTTCACAGAGCTGGCATCTTGGGGGAGCCTCGGTCTCTGTTCAACCCGCACACCCTTCTCCCCCTTGAGCCTGAGGAGACCGTGAAGGCTGGGAGACACCCGTCCCTGATAGAGAGGAACAACATGAAGATTCAGGACACACTGCACTTGGTCATGAGGACCCTGTCTTCTCACACGCCCTACTCTAAGTAACCTGGGGTCTCCCGTCTCCGCAAGAGTCCCTGCGTTTGTAAATGAAGCACACGACCTTAGCCGCTTGATACGGGATGAGTATCATACTGTCAGTAAGCCTTCAAAAATGGCCCAAGTGTGCATCCTAAAGAACAGCTGTGGACGATTAAAGAATTCCAGAAAGCCATTGAAGAACTTAAAAGCACTTTGTCTTATTTTTGGTGGATTGTCTGTTACTTATTTCCCTCCTCGACTTCTGGGTAACTTTTTTTTAAAAACTACCTGGATGCCAGTGTTTTATTTTATTTTATTTTAAAGATTTATTTATTTATTTGGAAGTCAGAGTTACACAGAGAGAGAAGGAGAGGCAGAGAGAGAGAGAGAGAGAGAGAGTCTTCCATCTACTGGTTCCCTCCTCAGATGGCCACAATGGTTGGAGCTGCACCGATCCAAAACCAGGAGCCTGGAATTTCTTCCGGATCTTCCACATGAGTGTAGAGGCCCAAGGACTTGGGCCATCCTCTACTGCTTTCCCAGGCCATAGCAGAGAACTGGATTGGAAGTGGAGCAGCCGGGACTCGAACTGGTGCTCATATGGGATGTTGGTACCACAGGCAACAGCTTTACCCACTACGCCACAGCGCCAGCCCCTTGGGTAACTATTTAAGTTTAGTAGTGTCTTAGTGGACTGGTGAAAAAACATTTGTTTATTCATTTCTCAGTTGATCTTTGCCTTATGAGAGAGCATTCTGGGCATATATAAAAACAGATTTCCATTTAAAAAGGCAAACTAAAACATTTTAAACATGGAATCTTTTCCCTTGGCTATGTGAGGGAACTTCAAGAGGGTCACAGAAAATGAAGTTAAACGATAAGCTTACTTTAATGGAAAAGAGATTTTCAAAGGTGTCTCTCCTCCAGCTGGCTTCTTTTTAAAATTTTGTGTTTAATTTATTAGAGAGAGACAGACAGACCTACCCTCCCATCTACTGGCTTATTCCCCAAATGCCCAGGGGGCTGGAACTCAATCTGGGGCTCCCACCTTGTAGCAAGGACCCAAGGACTTGAGCCATCCCCTGCTGCCTCCCTGGGTGCCTGGTAGCAGGAAGCTGGAGTTGGAAGTAGAGCCAAGACTCAAACCCAGGTACTCCTCTATGGGATGTGAGCATCCCATTCAAGTCTTAACTGCTGTGCCAAACTCCCATTCCTGCACAAAACCTTTAAAATCCATGCATACACGAAGTCTTTAATAAGTTACTAGAAAATTCATGTCATGAAAAAGCTAGGTATGGATTTCAAATTTTTTGTACCAGATTAAACTTATCTTTTACATAAATTTTCCATGAACTTCTGAAATACCTGTGTGTGTGTGTGTGTGTGTATGTATGTGTGTGTGAGAGAGAGATTGAGAGAGATTGAGAGAGAGAGAGAGAGAGAGAGTATGTCTTTCATATCAGTCAGGGCTGGATTTGAGAGCATTTATATATTTTATATTGTGATACCAGTAATAAAGTTCATGGAAAAATGAAATTAAAAGACAAATGGGGGGGGGTCGGTGTTGTGGCACACAGTGGGTTAAGCCACTGCCTGCAAAGTCTGAATCCCATGTGGACGCTGGTTCGAATCCTGGCTGCTTCACTTCCAATCCAGCTCCCTACTAATGTACCTGGGAAAGTAGCGGGAGACAGCACAAGTGCTTGGGCCCCTGCACCCACGTGGGAGACTTGGGAGAAGCTCCTGGCTCCTGGCTTTGGCCTGGCCCAGCCCAGCTTGGTGCAGCCACTTGGGGAGTGAATCATTGGGAGGAAGATTCTCTCCCTCCCCTGCGCCTGCCCTTGTAACTCTCCTTTTTAAATAAATAAACAAATAAAAGATAAATTGATTTTGGGACAAAAACATTTTGAAACCTGTGCTAGTTTTTGCATAATACTCATTTTCTATGAACTTTTTGAAGTATTCTTGTTGTAGAGACATTTATAGCTAGGGATATATACACACAGGTTGGAACACACAGTTTTCCTTGTTCTGTCACCTGAGAGGACCTAGAAGCCACAACACCTAATAACAACGAGAAAATCTGTCTCCAAGGTCTTGGTTTCTTGCTTTACTTTTTTTTTTTTTTAAGATTCATTTTATTTATTTGGAAGACAGTTACAGAGAGAGAGAGAGAGAGAGAGAGAGAGAGAGAGAGGTCTTCCATCTGCTGGTTCACTCCCCAAATGACTGCAATGGCCAGAGCTGAGCTGATCCGAAGCCAGGAGCCAGGAGCTTCTTCCATATGGGTGTAGGGGCCCAAGGACTTGGGCCATCTTCTATTGTTTTCCCAAACCATAGCAGAGAGCTGGATCGAAAGAGGAGCAGCTGAGACTTGAACCGGCACCCATATGGGATGCTGATGCTGCAGGCTGGGGCTTTAACCTGCTGTGCCACAGCACCAGCCCCATGGTCTTGGTTTCTGTTACCATTCTCTAAAAAAGGAACCAGGGCTGGCTCTGTGGTGTAGCAGGTTAAGCCTCTTCTTGCAATGCTGGCATCCCATATGGGCGCTGGTTTGTGTCCCGGCTGCTGCAATTTGAATCCAGCTCCCTGGTAATGCTCCTGGGAAAGCAGCAGAAGATGGCCCAAGTGCTTGGGCCCCTGCACCCTCGTGGGAGATCTGGTTGAAGCTCCTGGCTCCTGACTTTGGCCTGGCAGTTATGGACATTTGGGGAGTGAATCAGCAGATGGAAGATCTCTCTCTGTCTCTCCTCCTGTCTGTATAACTCTGCCTTTCAAATAAATAAAAAAATGAACCTTTTTTAAAAAAAAGAAAATAAAATGAAAAGGAGCCATGGCTGCTGGGAGAAAATGGCTGAATCTGGGACAAAGGCAGGAAACAGACAAGGTGAGCCTGGAGCATTCTGTAGTGCTAGAAATTAAGAAAGTGCACAAAAACAAACCAAAACCAGAGCAACCCATAACCATGAGGATATACGGATGTCAACAGGACTCAGCAAGCAACTCAAAGAGCTGGAATCGTCTGAGTGAGCAGCTAAAGTCCACTGGGTTAGAACCCAGGGTGTAAGTAAATTCCCATGAGTCTATGCTGATGTGAGTGACTGAATAAATAAATAAATAATAGATGGAAAGAATAGGTAAAGTCCCCTGTTTGGGAGAATTCCAAATAATGCATAATGATACTCCCCTCAAGGAAGCGGGCCTACCACGGTGGCTTCCTCCCAACAAGTGTGGCATGGAAAGGAGGGAGAAGAGGAACTTCAGGGTGGAGACCCCTAACGCACACTGTCTCTGGTAGCTTCAGCAGCAAGACGTCGTGTTGATGGTACACACACGACTGAGAATGGCATTGACCTTCCCAACACCCAATAATCCCAGTCTACTCATAAAAGAATATCAGATGATCTCAATAGAGGGACAATATCTGGCTCAAACTCTTCAAAATTATTAAGCTCATCAAAACAAGGAGAATTTCGGACGGTGCCGCGCCTCACTAGGCTAATCCTCCACCTAGCGGCGCCGGCACACCGGGTTCTAGTCCCGGTTGGGGCGCCGGATTCTGTCCCGGTTGCCCCTCTTCCAGGCCAGCTCTCTGCTGTGGCCCGGGAGTGCAGTGGAGGATGGCCCAAGTGCTTGGGCCCTGCACCCCATGGGAGACCAGGAGAAGCACCTGGCTCCTGGCTTCGGATCAGCGTGGTGTGCCAGCCGCATTGCGCCAGCCGTGGCAGCCATTGGAGGGTGAACCAATGGCAAAGGAAGACCTTTCTCTCTGTCTCTCTCTCTCACTATCCACTCTGCCTATCAAAGCAAACAAACAAACAAAAACAAAAACAAGGAGAATCTCAATTTGATAGGGCATCTATGAAGAAGCCCTAGCTGGCGTCCTGTTGAAACTTCTCCCCACTACTATCAAGAACAAATCAAGACTCTACTCACACCAGTCCTATTAAATATCTGCGCCAGTGCACTGTTTACTTCCTCGTGTTTGGCCGATGCATTTGGGCACAGTGTTTGCGTGCCCTTTGCGTCAGTGGCTTTGACAGAGTTGCCCCAATCTTAGCCTACTAGAAACCAGTTGGAGATGGACATGATGAGGCTCTGCGCTGTTGCAGGGATAGGGAGAAATAAAACAAAATCTGATTGGGGGTAAAAAAAATAGAAAATGATGCTGATGGTTGTGCAGCTCTAAGAATATACTAAAAACCAAATTGTACACTTTAATGGATGACTTTGTAGGGTATATGATTATATTACATCTCAAAAAAGCTATCCTAGGGGTCGGTGCTGTGGCGCAGCAGGTTAATGCTCTGGCTTGAAGTGTCGGCATCCCATATGGGCACTGGTTCAAGACCCGGCTGCTCCACTTCTGATCCAGCTCTCTGCTATGGCCTGGAAAGCAGTAGAAGATGGCCCAAGTCCTTAGGCCCCTGCATCTGCGTGGGAGACCCAGAAGAAGCTCCTGGCTCCTGGCTCCTGGCTCCTGGCTTTGGATCGGCCCAGCTCTGGCCATTGTGGCCAACTGGGGAGTGAACTAGCGGATGGAAGACCTCTTTCTCTCTCTGCCTCTCCTCTTTCTGTGTAACTCTGACTTTCAAATAAATAAATAAATAAATCTGTTTAAAAAAAAGCTATCATAAAGAAAAAACAATGAAAACACAACCTCCAGAATGAGAGACAATGTGTTAAAATCACGTATGTGGTAAAGATCCAGTGTTCAGAAAGTATAAAGAACTCTTACACTAATTTTTTAAAAAAAAATTGTTTATTTGAAAGGCAGAGTTACAGAGAGGCAGAGGCACAGAGCAGGGGCCCAAGGACTGGGCCATCTTCCACTGCTTTCCCAGGCCGTAACAGGGAGCTGGATCAGAAGTGGAGCAGCCAGGACACGAACCGGTGCCCATATGGGATGCTGGCTTTTCAGACAGAGGCTTAACCTACTACATCACAGCACTGACCCCACTAATATTAATTTTTGAAAACTGGTTTAATTCAGAAATATAAAAAAAAGTTGTTTTGAATGTGGATGTGCAGAGAATTAACACAAAATCTGAAATGTAAAAAAAAAAAAAAGCTTCCAACTCCACTTTTTTTTAAAAAAAAGATTTTATTTATTTATTTGAGAGGTAGAGTTACAGACAGTGAGAGAGAGAGAGAGAAGAGAGAGAAGGGTCTTCCATCTGTTGGTTCACTCCCCAAATGGCCGCAACAGCCAGAGT